TATATATATATATATATATATATATATATATATATATATATATGTACGGCAAAGGGCAGAGAAGCTAAGATTGAAGAGAAGATCACTTACTTTCTCCACTGTGGAATTCTGCGAGTAGCGCAAATAAAATAACAGAGAGGATCGGGAACAAAATAAAAAACGCGTTAGTATTCATTCGTTCATAAACATGGTAATGAGATGACGAAATAGAGAGAGATGAGACTGTGAGATATATATATACGTATACATGTGTCGCTAGTACCAGCGCATCTTTACAGATTTTCGAACGTATCGGATTCATAATCAGCACGATGTGTATGTGACATCTCTGTTCTTTTGCTATTTCATTTTCTCTCTTTCTTTTATGTTTATTTTTTTTTTCTTTTTTTTTTCTGAGAAGCGTTCCCTCGCGGGAAGCGCTTCTGAGGTCGTGATGATGTTCGTCGCTGATCACTTCGAAAACCCGCACTCATCACACGCAAGCCACTTTTCTATTGTACACGGCTACGAAACGAGAAGTAACAATAATAATCATGTATTATAGTAGAGACGCAACGAGGTATAAACACACACCACTCACACTCTGCGAAAAGAAGACATACTTCGGGAGGTGGAAACTCAAAATAACGACGCGCCGAGCACTGTTGCGGCACTGATGTTGAGATCCCTCAACTGGGATCAATCGTTATTGCGTGCGCATATCAATTAAGAAAGAGATTGATTCAATTTTCCTCTTTGATTTCATGGAATTCACCTCTCGATGGATGGATCAACATTGCCGATTCGTCAATTACGATTTACGATAATAGAGGAAACATCAGTGGAGCGCAACAGATTCCGCCGCATCCGCGCGAAATAGCTCAACTCAAATGAATCATACGAGAAGAAAACATCCACGATATAGCAGCAGCTGTTGCAACGTTGAAAAATCCCCTACTTTCTACTAGTCAACAATTCGTTGGACGAACGATTCTTTTCTCTTCTTCCTTTCTCTCCCATAATCTCAGTTTTCACATCTACACTGTGGGAGAGAAAAAATACCGAAAAAATAAAGAGACGTTTACTCGGTCGGTACTAATTACTTAAACTTAAATCCTCTTTTATTTTAGAATCAATGGTTGCCTTTCTTCATGGTAAAAACTATTAGTTCCACGGAAATGTATATTTTCTTATTTGAAGAAATTATTATGTTGTTGTATCGAAATAAAAATATACTAAGAAAAAGAATATTTAAAAATTAACAAATATTTATTAGATAAATATCATTGATATATTTATTTAAAGCAAAAACTCTCTTCATTTAAACTGAATAAGTAATATTCGGTTTAAGTGAAAAGAATTTTGATTTATGTAAACATGATAATGGTATCTTAATAAATAACCTAGTAAATATTTTAAATGTTTTTTCTCAGTGTATGTGCATATGTTAATGTAATATGTTATTGGGACCCACCGAATAAATATATTTCATTTTTCAAGTATTTCTTCTCTCAGTGTATCAATCGCTAGTGTGATTCGAGAGTCGCGCTCGGCACTCGCACATTATTCACGCGCTATGGAATTTGCGCAAGCGAGACGAGCTCTCAGACGGACGCGTGACAGACGCGAAGAAAGAAGATAACGTAAAAAGGATATTGGTGTACCTGTCCCTCCACATTCCTTGTCCCTTGGGCGCGGTACTGAGGGCTGCCAGCGAAGTGCATAGGGACTCTAGAGACGCGCTAATCTCGGAACAGAATCGGCTTTGATTATCCATCGTGGTGTCGCGCGTCATGCTCATGCTGTCTCTCGCGCGTACAAATTGCAACTTTCTCTCCGACGCGAGCGTTGCATTCGCAAATGTTCGTCGCCAACGACGACAGCGTGTCCCGTGCATTTGCCACACGTGCAGAAACCAACGCGAATCGGGATGCTTCTCGTCAAACACGCGCTTGGTTAGAGATTGCGATAAGTACGGGGGTGGATTAATGTGGTTATGCGATGCAACAAGATTCTTTACGGGAAAGAGGTAGGAGAACTCGCGGACGAGCGACTTTGGTCTCTTTTATCGACGAGCTCGCCTCTATCCGGATCAGTCGCGAGCTGGTTAGTTCAGTATGGGTCGCAGCGACAGCTGAAATCACTCACACGCTGCCAAAGAATCGTTCATCCAGGATGACACGTGAGGAAAAAAAACAGCATGCTTAAAAACTAGTAATCGAACTCGGCTACGAGCAAGCAGGCTGTAACGAGAACACCAAGCGTTCCTTGTCGAGCTGGCTGAATGACTGTAAGGTAAATCGCAAAGGTCCTGTCGAGTAAACTATCCAGTTAGAGATATAACTAGCCGGACTCATCGTGAGCGACGATTATACTGTGAAAGAGTACTCGTGTTTCGACACTATGTCGTCGTGTAGTGATCTCATATGATTGTTATATCTCAAACCTTAACACGTGACTTGCAGTCCAATTCAATCTTATCGTGTCTTAATTGGAAACTTTAACGCGATAATTACTCGACTTATCTCCGTTGATTGTGCGAAAGTTTAACTGATAATTCAATCATCGAAGATAAATAAATGCAGCTCGAGACATGCCTTTCACTTCGTTTTCTCAAATACAAATTAATTGTACTTTCACAAAAATTCAAAATGAGAGTCTATAAGAGTCATGCGCTAGAATTTAGTGCGCCAAATAACTTTCTAAGAAAAATTACTCATCTAAGATGTATTACCGGTCCCGTTTTGAACTCTTTTCAGTGTAAATACACGCTGGACACGTTTGTTCGTTGAAGAATTAAATGTTGTGATTTCAGGTCTCATACATGAATGCATCGACTACGATTTTTAACAGTTTTACTTGCACTCTTATGAGGATAAAGATCACAACATTTCATTCTTCGACAAATAAATACTCACACTTGATCTTGTTTTATTAATAGAAGTGTTTCTAAATGTGACTGAAAGCCAATCAGAAAGGCTTGTAAAGATACTTTTATCGATAAAAAAAGAATTCACAATAAGAATTTATAGAGTAGGGGAGATTGCCGAGATCTTACCGGTTTCCCCAATTATACCTCATCAATTTCCTTATTATAATTTAATATGAACAACGGTAAAAATGAGAAATAAATGAGCAATGAGAGATACAAACAAAACATTTGTATATCTTATTTTATGTGCGTGTTACGAATATTTAAAAAAATCAGGTGCTGAAGAAGGCCTAAAACAAAACCGAGACGTTTGTCATTAATGTACAAGGAGTAACAAACCTCAGATAAATAATTTTTCTTTATAGAGTTATTTAGCGGACTAGACTCTAACTCACGGCTCTTATAGACATTTCATTTATATTTCTTCTTATTGTATATTATAGAGCACTTAATATTTCATACTGAGTAATTACATTTTACACGTGACTCAATTAAGGCACGGTAATGTCGCGGCGCTGGCCACGTAGACTCATATGTATAGACTGCGCCTTCTTATGAGAGATTTTAAGACAAGATTCGAAGGACAGCTGTGCTCCTCTTCCATTGTCCACAGAGACCCTCGATCTTTGTCCAGTTTGACTTCGTGTAGCTCCATTAGGAGTCAAGCTGGGCAAAGATTGAATGCCTCCGAGACATTTTCTTCTCGCCACGTCTTCACAGTCTCTCGCGGAGCGCTCAGTCTATGCGTAGAAGTCTATGGACGACCGTTCGCGGTGTTCCACGTGTTAAGGAATGATAAGAATGATTATATCTCGTGAACTTCCTCAACACTGAAACACGTGCCACGACGTTATTTTCTTCGCGCGTCAACCGGACGTTTCCGTCGCGTCGGGCCAAGATTCGTGCGTCGATCGCACGTCGAGACACGTTAACTTGCTCACGTGTGCCCGGTAGATTCGAGGAGAGTCAGTCGCGTGCGATTTCGGCATCGCGATGTTCACCGAGCATCTCCGGCGGTCGATGATCAACACGGACGAGATCGAATCTGACGCGAGGAAATCGCGATAATTTATACAGCAGCCAATCGTCCGTAGGGTTAATCACAGCGGGAAAACTTTCACCAACACACACCGTATCACACTATAATACATATCATTATTGTTTCGTAGTATTAATACAGTGCCAATCGCGTTATGTACACCGGAAACACAAGGCCGCGTACACAATATCGCATTGCTCGCGTAATATTGGATGTCGTTATTTACACTACGGTGTGTCTCTCTCTCCCATCGGCTCAAGTGAGAGCTTTACAATAGACAAAAGTTGCTGCGTGCAAAGCTCATCGGAATTTTGCGTCACGCCTATCGTAATATATGTATATTTCACGACGAGACTCTCTCGTGGCGGTACACTCGGCTGCTGAACGGTTTGCACAACTTTCGTCGAGCGAAGTTGCGGCAAGCTGCAAGCTGCAGGAATTAAAAGCCACTGCTGAGATGTACGCGCAACAATCGTGGTTACAAATACGTTAATATTGTTCCTCAAAATAATCTTCTCTTAATTTGACATCAACTTTTTCTCCCAAATATCGCACTCTGCACTTGTTCTCTTCATTTAAAATAAATTCTTTCTTTCAAATCTCACAAATGTCACGCTCTCTGCCGCCACTTCGACTCCTGTCAAAAACGATTGCTGCGCACACACGTCAGTAGCGGCTTTCAATTCTGATAACTCGAAGCGTTGCAACTTCATTTGATAAAAAGTGTGCAAACAAGTTTGGCAACTGAGTGTAGTAGTACATACTATGATCGTGTATCACGATTGCAAAATTGAATATCAACTGTTATATTTTGAGATCTCAAATTGTTCAGACACAGCAATTTTTCGGTGACTCGATCTCGACTATATCGACGGTTTCTCTACTATCTCGATCATTAATTTTCGAGTTATGTCTGTTTTCTAGGTCATTAACTTTTGAATGAAGTTCGCGACTGACGAATAATGTGAGGAGTCTGCTTACGTTACATTCATCGTTACGTTACATTCTAATTGGCACTCTGAGAGATACTGCACAAATCAATAACGTTTCCCGATAAAACTTGTCGCGCGACTCTCTCCAATAAGGGGGAGGAGCAAGTGCACCTTTCTAAGTTCTTATCAAGATCTCGAAGGAAATCATCGCGTGTACTTCGAACGGTTTTCCTCGATACAGCACGAGAGTCGCGGTGACACGACAAAGTCGAAAGTTAACTATTGTATTCCCGGGATTTCAAATTCAATGGCAAAAATATACGTGGAATGCTACATACCCGACGTGCACTGGATGCTTGTTGATGTCCACATTGTCCGGCTTGAGGTTGATCGCATTCGTACGCTGATAATTCTCTTTCGTCATCGTCTCCGTTATGGTAGTCGCTGAAAAAGATATCGCCACGTGCACGCGTTTTGATCTCGCTTTTAGACCTTGGAGCAGACTAATCTTATCGACTCGACAATTTAGTTGCAATTAATCGTAGCCGGACAGAAGTTGACTTACATTAACAGTCAGATCATCAAAAGATAAAAAATGCAACAATTCGAAAAGACAAAGTATAGTCCAGTTCTAAAAAGAATAGACTTCAATTGTATAGATAATAGAGCGTAGTGTATAAAAATGTGTCTAACGTGTCTTCACGTACCTGCGGAATGTCGATTGTCTCTCTCGTCGTCCGTCACGTTCATGCGCATCGAGTCATCCGCCATGGATTTCATGTCGTCAACAGTCATGTATCGATACTGCTGTTGGTCGCTGAGCATCGGATCCTCACCTGCGATAAATATTGAACGCATAAAGTAAAACGTAAATGAGATCCTATACGCATACATACATGCACGCACAGACTCGCGCGCGCACGCATACACACACACACACACACACACACACATACACATTCGCGGTCGTCGTGTTACGTTCGCGCGATGGATCAGCGCAGGTGAGCCGCGTCGTGCTTCTCGAGCGCAAAGGTATCGCTGAGAATTCAGATGAGACATGTCTCAAGTTGCACAACAAATGTGTGAACGTCGCAAAAGATGCTGTCTAAAGTATGCGGATATATTATGCGTATATAAGTGGAGGAATGAGTATATATGAGAGCCTACGAACAAAATAAGAAACCATTGCCAAATACATCATTGCAGTAAGAAGCCGTAAAAAGCGAGGTTGGTGGCTCGGTGATTGGTGTTCTGTCAGTACCTGGACCTGTCTATTGGCGATAACGATTGAAACGAGACATGAGAGACTCGTGGGTGATCCGTCGAATAAATGGAAGGACGATCGTGTGATATCTCCCTGCGAAAGCGTGACAAAGTGACGTCACCGTTACCAACGACGACGTTCTAATGTTGCGATGCGATGCGATGCATGTGAACGAAATACAGAATTCTTATCTGGCGCTGAACTCAAGATCGGTTTGTGCAACACGTAATCTCGGGCTTCTCAGGTAAAACGAAACGATTGCATCTGTATGTCGTTGCGATTTTACGAAGCACAGCGCGCACAGTCGTTTTGACCTACGAGAAACCATCTCCTTCGCATATATTTGCTTCGTAGAAATTATAACGAGATAAAAATACGATCATTTCTTTTTACTTGAGGAAAGACCGAAATTACTTATTACGCGAAATACAAATGGAATCAACAGACAAATAGTACAGGGCAGATCTTGGAGAGCGAGATTGTTTATAAATCATGTATTCTATAACATTACAGAATTAAATCAAGGCCAAGATATTATTATTACAATATGCACAATATTATTATCACAATATTTGTAATAATATCGTTGATTTAATTACGCAATGTTATAGAATACACAGACATCTCAGAAATAAAGAAAAATATGATTTTGATAAATAGTTTTTATATATATATTTTTACATTTTTTCATAAAGCGAAATAAATATCCATTTTAAAAAATCATGTCCATTTACTTTTGAAATGTCTCTGTACATGACTTGTACAATCAGTTGTACAATCTTGCTCCAAGATTTGCGCTGGCTCTTATTTGCTCAGTTTGTTTGTTGTTTTTCTTAGGGAGCCTCTGTCTGTTTGACTACAAATAGAATCGTCTTATTTAATCTGAAAACCCCGAAATTACACGATCCGCAATATTCCGGACTGCAGACTCGTAATTATCGCGATAGACCACGAAGTGTCATTTCAAATCGTCGCGGATGCTACACACCCGTGGATTCGAGCGCAAATACAGACACACCGTGGTGGGCTCGTCAAAACAGTCATTTTTCGTATCTCCCACCTCGCCAGAAATCCTGTGATATGCGCTATATTAACGTTTTTTCACCTTCGCGGAGCCTTCTGCCCCGACCCTGTTAATTCCGTCTAAGCGCTGTCACAAAATGACATTGTAATTTAGTCGCACATTGAGAATACGAAGTCGTTCCTAAAGTGGCCCGAATTACGGTCGATCCGCTTAGTTGATCCAATTAGTTTCATTCATTTCAACTACGAACGTTTCTTTGAACATGACACTCGAGAGACTAGATTTTTAATTGATATACCAACTTCCGACTTGGAGCCACGTTTCTTTTATTACCAGGCTGTCAGTTTTCCCTGACATGTTCGAATGGAAATCTTCACCAACGGTTGAAAACAAATTCACAGGAAACACGACTCCAACTCGGAAACCAAATCCAGCATTTGACTGCACATCGCGGAAGCCCATAATATTACTTGGAATTAATATCCTTTCGATACTTTAGATTGATATCCTTCCGTAATTTAAATGAATATTCTTTATACACTCAATGGAAGCGTCTGCGAGGCGAGTGAGCCGTTCTTCTTCTTCCAGAAACCAGACAGGAGAGTTCAGATATCGCGGTAACAGGCGACGATACGGAACGTCGTCAAATCACGTCATACCTTGTGTCAATTGAGGTCACGGTTGGATACATTTTACGAGCCGAGAGGTAACATAAACGAGCGTAATTCGGTGGAGACGTGTGAAAGCCGGCCGGCCGGCTGGTCAGGTTACGTACGAACCGTATCACAATTTTCGTACGACTGAGAGTGCCGTCAGTTTTGCGGTCCGGCGCATTATCAGACATTCTACGCAAGAATGTAGGTCACAATTATCTAATGAACGGTCAGCCCACAAATTTGCCTCCCACGTCTCGCGTACCGTTAGCATAATCGCGTATTAACTGCGTGCGTTCACGCTAATCGAGAATACTTCCAGTCGGAGTGCGAGAAAACGTGCGTATGCACCGCGGCGACGGCCACCTGATGCGTGGAATCGCTCGGAAAGTGATATTCCTTACGAGTAAATCGCAGCCAGGTGTTGTGATTGATTCCGTGTTACTGATAAGACTCACGACCAACTCTCATTGTGTGTGCCATGGTGTAAAAAAAAAAAAAAAAAAAAAAAAAAAAAAAAAAAAAAAAAAAAAAAAAAA